GGTTCACACGTACCCGGTTTTTTCTGGTACTTCCCTTCCAATCCACCCGTTGCTGTTGCTGGGGGGGGGGGGGGTGCAGGTTACTCCGTGTCGGATATATCGGGTTTTGGTTCACTGCATGCCACTTTTTTGTCTTTCCCGCCTTTTCAATCACACTGCTGTCGCTGCGCATGACACTGCGTGGCGTAGGTGGTGAAGGAATTCCACTCGGAGGACGCGGCCACCGCTGTCTCGGAGACGCCGCAGGAGTCCGACTCGGTTGCGGCGACCACGATGGCAAGCCACCACGCCGGACACAGGCACTGGGCGGAGCGCGTGAAGCGCGAGCGGGAGATGGAGCGCAAGTTCCACGGGAAGAGCGGCGGCCGCAGCAAGAGCAAGTCGGACCACGGCCGGGCTAACGCTGGGGACGAGGAGGAAGAGGAAGCGGCGGGGGTAGCGGATGCGGAAGCAGCGACGGCGGCGGCGGCGGCAGTAGCGGTGGCCAGGAAGAAGAGGAAGCCGATGGTCACCACCGTGCCGTGGAGAAGGCCGGGTCCGTACGAGAAAGGCGTGGTGCACGAGGACGTGCTGCAGCTGGAGGTGGAGTCGAGCGAGGCCGAGAGCCAGGGGGCGAGGACCAGGGCCGGGCTGGAGCAAGTGTACCTGTCGAGCGGGGACATCCCGTCCACGCCGGCGGAGCCGGACGCCGCTTCGTTCCTTCCAGTCGGTGCGCACGAAACTTGCACTCTCTTGTGTGTGTGTCTCCCTCTCTCTCTCTTGCTCTCTCTCTCTCTCTCTCTCTCTCTCTCTCTCTCTCTCTCTCTCTCTCTCTCTCTCTCTCCCTCCCTCTCTTTCTCTCCCGCACTCCCTCTTGGGCGGGTCGTTTGTCTGGCGGGATAGTTGAGCCTGTGTCCTAGCGCCATCATCATTGCTGAAGATAGATACAATCACCCACAGTACCTCCACACCGTCCCTCGAAACCGTTGCGATCTGCGCGCAGACGAAGTTCAAATGTACAAGATCCCGTTCTACATGGAGTCCGAGCTGGAGCAGATGCAGGCGGAAGCGCCGAAGGAGCAGCAACAGCAGCAACCACCAGCCAACCAGCCTGGGCCGGTCAAGGTGCGCTAGGTGGAAAAGTAAAGGTTGGCCACGCTCTACGCTTGGCTCCTTCTCGGCATTCCCTATGAAGCCGCCCATTGGCGTTGTCGGGTTCGCCTAATATTTATTGTTCGTCCTAGACACCTGGCGACCTCTCACTAACACTAACTGGGTATTGAAATGGAGCGGGCGGGCGAGGGGGGCGGGGGACAGGGTTGATTTATCCATACGCCCTCTGTGGTGGTGCCTCATTATTTTTGTTTTTCTTCGTTCTGCGGGGGGTATGTATCTAGATACGCGCGGCGAGAAGGGACGGGACACGCACATACCGCCACCTCGGCTCCCTGTGTACAAGAAGTAGCATAGCAACAGCGTCTCTACGACGATACATGGCCAAATATTGTTGTTCCACCTCCGTTTCGCTTGTACGTTGGCTTTCCTTACGCTCGGCCGTGGCACCTGCGCAGGTGACTCTGCAGCAAGTGAGGGCGCTCGACGACGCGCTGGCGAGCGTCGACCCCCACGCCGCGACGGCCCTGCGGAGCCGTTTTGCCTCGGAGCCCCGGCTGCTCTCGGCGCTGCTTGCCCCCGAGGGGCGGGTCAACAACGCGCTGCTCCGGTCGATGTCGCAGC